CACGTCCACCGCTCTCGTCTTACTCATGATTCCGGGCGTTGGGTATGTCCTCAGACCACTCAACCACTCGGCTGTATTTCAATCAAGACTGACATCGGTATAAGCTTCTTCTACTCTGGACTCGCGCGAAGGAAATCCGCGCTCTCCCTGATATGGCTCTCGATGATGGCTACTGCTGTCACCTCATTCCAGTGGTTCTTCTGGGGCTACTCTCTCACTTTCTCACACTCGGCTGGAAAGTTCATTGGAGACCTCGAAAACATTGGCTTTAGGAATACGTTGGCAGCACCGTCCGTTGGCAGCCACAGGATCCCGGATCTTATGTTCGCCGTGTACCAGGGCATGTTTGCCGCTATTACGTATGATGATCCTCTTCGAGTAGCGTATGATCAAGCTTGTTGACTTTTCATGTATAGCGTAGCTCTCGCCGTAGGTGCTGTTGCCGAGAGAGGCCGTATGCTTCCCTGCGTTATTTTCATGCTGGTCTGGGCCACTCTCATCTATGACCCGATTGCTTGCTGGACGTGGAATCCTCATGGGTGGGTAGCGTCTATGGGTGGTCTCGACTTTGCTGGTGGCACCCCTGTGCATATCTCATCCGGATCCGCTGCTCTAGCATATTCGCTTATGCTTGGAAAGAGAAGGGGACATGGGACACATGAGTTGAACTTCCGACCCCACAACGTGACTCAAGTCATCATCGGAACGGTCTTTCTATGGGTTGGATGGTTCGGCTTCAACGCCGGTTCGGCCTTGAGTGCAAGCATGCGTGCTGTCATGGCCGCTGTTGTTACCAATCTCGCCGCTTCCGTTGGAGGAGTGACGTGGTGCCTGCTGGATTACAGACTCGAAAGGAAATGGTCGGCTGTCGGATTCTGTTCTGGAGTCGTTGCAGGCCTGGTTGCGATCACTCCAGGATCCGGATACGTGCCTGCTTGGTCCGCTGTGATATACGGGATTCTTGCAGGATCCGCGTGTAATTACGGTACGAAGATCAAGTTTCTCCTAGGCATTGACGATGCTTTGGATATCTTCGCTGTGCATGCCATTGGTGGGCTCGTCGGCAACCTCTGCACAGGCTTCTTTGCAGCGTATGTACCATCCTCTTGCAATACACTGTCCGCGCATTGACAAGATTCTAGTGATTACATAGCACATCTGGACGGCTTCACCGTGATTCCTGGGGGATGGCTCAATCACCACTGGATCCAGCTCGCCTACCAACTCGCTGACTCTGTCTCCGGTTTCGCCTACTCGTTCGGCGGTTCATGTATCATCCTATTCCTTATGAACCTCATCCCAGGCCTACGACTACGTGCAAGTGAAGAAGCTGAGGTCCTCGGTATGGACGATGCCGAGATTGGCGAGTTTGCCTACGATTACGTTGAGCTTACGCGAGACGTCCTCAACGGCGATGCATTGATTGACGAAAGCGAGTCAAAGTATTCTGGCGATCAAGATTCCCCAATGGGTCGTGGTCATGAGAAGAACTTTTCTACCTCTTCTGATGAGATCCCCATGAAGATACGCCAGCGGCCGTGAGCAACTCAAATTCCTCAAGTCAATGGGTAGTAACGGCTAGCTTTCACTTCGCAATATGTACCACGACCTTGGAGTCCTCTTTCTTCGCTTGGAGGGGTCCAAAAGACCGTCTAGGGATTCTAGCCGGGCAGGGGGCGTAATGTCTTCGTTTGACATAGGCGTGTTGGTATGCGGCGATACGAAGCGTAGGGTCTTCAAAGTACGCTTGGATAGGTCTTGTAGTTGTGTATCATACTTCACAGCCTAGACTCTTACTTGTACCATTCTTTTGATCTTGTAGCTTCCGCCAAATCTAATATTATGTCTATTCTTTCAGCTCACACTAAGACCATAACATGACGCATCCAGCACCACCGCTTTTCAGTTTCACCAGCTTCAGCGCTTCAGCAACCACGGAGTTTTCCCCGAGCCCCCTTGAGCGTTGGTCTTTGGTGCAGAAGCGACAAGTTTAGCCGAGGTCCGCTTGGATCTACTCAAGTTGCGATCCTCACTCGTCTCAACATGTTTTAAAGGCTTGCCTTCAAGCATCGTTGAAGCGTGCGACTTCTTGCAATCATGGCCAGCATCGATTCCCCAAACCATTCACCCACCCCACCTCTCTCCAACTTCCCCCAAAATCCCGAAGAATTCGACGCGGACCCACGCGTTTCCTTCTCGAAGCTCGCCAACAAGTTCATTCTTGAAGCAGACAATGGTGAGGAGTTCGAATTCGATGATGCGCTGAAGAGATGGGTTCCAGTGGTACGCCCTCGTCCCCTACGTATATATGAGGGTGCCCATGCAAGCTATGGTCAGGATGGCGGATTCTAATTGCATGCCCGGTCGTGGTTGGATCTACAGTTGGACAATGCTTTGATGGAGCAGCAAAGAGCCGCTTATGCTGTTCAAGGCGTGGATGAGTCGGAGCCGGCGCAGGCGGGGAAGAAGAGGAAGAAGCAGACTTATGTCAATGGGGAAGATGTAAGGATCAACGTTTACTCAACTCATCTTCCTGTAAAAGCATTCTTGCTACAGAGAGCTGATGTGGGATCTTATGAAATAGGAAACAGGTGGTCGAGCAAATACCAAGAAAGCAAAGCCCGCCCCAGAACCCCGGGAACGCAAAAACACTGCTGTCTACGTAACCTCGCTCCCACTTGATACCACTGTCCAAGAAGTGCACGACGTCTTCTCACGCTGCGGTGTCATTGCCGAAGAAATCGACCGTGGTAAGCCTCGCATCAAGCTGTACACCAACGACGACGGGAGCTTCAAAGGAGACGCCCTCATCCTCTATTTTCGAGCCGAGAGCGTGGATTTGGCGATACAGCTACTGGATGATACGGATTTTAGATTGGGTGATGGGCAAAAAATGAAGGTGGCCGCCGCGGACTTTAGTTATAAGGCTCAAAAAGACGCGCCGGCGAAGAGTAATATGAAAGATAAAAAGAAGATTATTAAGAAGACGCAGAAATTAAATAAGTAGGGCGCTGGGTCCTTGCTAGTTGAACAGAGGCGTTGCTGACCATGTGCAGTAAACTCGCAGATTGGGATGACGATGATCCACAGGCTATTCAGGATACCAGTTCACGGTGGGATAAAGTGGTTATACTGAAACACCTGTTCACTCTCAAGGAGCTCGAGGCGCGTCTGATTCTCCCCTTACTCTAATCTCCACCTTCTCCTGACATCTCCACCTATAGGAAGACCCAGCAGCCATCCTTGACATCAAAGAAGACATCCGAGAAGAATGCGCCAAGATGGGCGAAGTCACTAACGTTGTTCTCTTCGACAAAGAAATCGATGGCGTAGCAAGCGTGCGGTATGGTAATGCTGTGGCTGCGAATGAGTGCGTGAAGGTATGTTGCCCGTCTTCGTCTTAATCTTACCAACGCATGACTGGGAATACTGTTTGCAAAGTCCGAGCAAAGCACGTGGTTTTAATGACACTGTTCCTCGAATGCAGGTCATGAACGGCCGCCACTTCTCCGGAATGGTCGTCGAAGCCTACATCGCGGACGGGAATGAAAAATTCAAGAAGTCGAGCGAGAAGAAAGCAGCTGTAGTTGAAGAAGAAGAAGAGGGTGAAGAAGAGGGCAAGCGATTGGATCAGTTTGGGACTTGGCTCGAGGAAGAGGCCGGTGCTGCGAAAAAGTGAAATAATTGCGAGGGAGTTCGGAGGGTTGTAGCCAGGCTCCGGGGCATTGGTAAGGATCTTGAGGAAGGTCGGCCACAGTGGAGGTACCCATTTGACACTTGTGTTCATTATGTATGGGCGTGGTTGTTCTCTCGCCGTCGACGATGTCCCTCACCTTGTGAAAACGCCATGGGAACCATTCATCCACTATCCTCTCCATTCCAGCCTCTGCAAAGCTGAACATCCAAATGCGTTCACAGAGAGCCGCACCTCAAGAGGAACAACCAGAACCGACGAGACCGGAACCGATTACGATTTACCTAAGAAGAAGAAGAAGAAGAAGAAGCCAATGATCCTCGAAGCAACAATCGTTCTCCCACCTCGGTGGATTCAAAAGTTCCTCACCGCTCACACCACGATTGATTGATTGATTTCCACTCCAACCATGCATACCAGCCCTTCAAACCTCACAGCAACCCACCCTCACCCACACCGACATCCCCTCCCCTCCCTTCCCTTCCCTTCCCATCCCTTCCCTTCCCTTCCCTTCCCCTCCCTTCCCTTCCCCTCCCATCCCCCAGCCTCTCCAACCACAACCCCACCCTGCTCTCCCACATCACCACCTTCCCCCTTCACCACCGCAGCCGCCCCCTCCCTCCATCAAGAACGTCCCCTTCCTCCCCTACCCCATCCCCTCACTGCCCCCCGACCCATCCGCTCAAGACTCTACCCTACAGCTACCCCCCCCCCGGGTCAACAGCGCCATCGCAGATGCCAAAGCCATGCACGCGGACGCTGCGAATCAGCCTGAGGAGTGCGTGCGTTTAGTACGTGTGGTCAGACGACGGCGACAGCGATGGTGGGATGGAGGGGGTATTGCGTTCGAGGCCCGGAATGGCGGGCGAGGGTTGGGGGGGGTGGGGATTGAAGCGGTTTTTGGTGGGACTGGGGGAGGGACATATTATTTTGGGTTTGATGGGGTGGAGGAGAGAGAGAGAGGGGGCGGTGGGGATGGGGTTTGGAAGGGGGGAGGGGGGCAGCCGTTCGCACTGGATGAAGGATGCAGGATCGGAGGCGAAGCAAGTTGTAGGAGCAATATTTAGATGAGGGGTAGAGGTTGGAGAAGAGCGAGCTTTATGCTATTGTCGGCACTGCTATGTCAATGTCAATCGCTTTGCATTCCTTGCTAATCGCCTCGCACGCTTCACTATCTTTTGGCTAGAAACACAATCAGTCTGGACCACGTAAACAACATCAGTCGTGCGAATGTTGCATCGCTATTGCTAACGCCCTGTTGGTCTCACTCAAGAGAAACCTAAGAGCAGACGAGCACTCGCACAATCTATTCCTCGCCTTCGGCAGGAGCCTCCTCCTCGCTGTAGAGAAGTTAGCAATGATTCGAAGCAGTAGTCAGTGGACAAGACTTACTACTCTTCCTCGCCCTCCGAGACTGAAGCCTCCTGGTATTGCTGGTATTCGGATACCAAGTCGTTCATGTTGCTCTCAGCCTCAGTGAACTCCATCTCGTCCATTCCCTCACCAGTATACCAATGCAAGAAAGCCTTACGACGGAACATAGCAGTGAATTGGTCACCAACACGCTTGAACAGCTCCTGAATGGAGGTCGAATTGCCGATGAAGGTCGAAGACATCTTCAAGCCACGCGGAGGAATGGAGCAGAGAGCGGTCTGAACGTTATTGGGGATCCACTCGACGAAGTATGAGGCGTTCTTGTTCTGAACGTTGCGCATCTGGTCCTCCACTTCCTTCATGGAGACCTTACCACGGAAGATCGCAGCGCAGGTCAGGTAGCGGCCGTTTCTAAAGTCGGACGCGGCCATCATGTTCTTGGGGTCGTACATTTGTTGAGTCAATTCTGGTACAGTGACCGCGCGGAATGAGGAAGAACCACGGCTAGTGAGAGGTGCGAAGCCAACCATGAAGAAATGTAGACGGGGGAATGGTACCATGTTGACGGCCAACTTGCGGAGATCCGAGTTGAGTTGACCGGGAAAACGGAGACAGGTGGTGACACCTGACATGACTGCGGAGACAAGATGGTTAAGATCTCCATAAGATGGGTTGGAGAGCTTGAGGGTACGCATGCAAATGTCGTAGAGCGCCTAGATTGACATGTCAGTCCTTAAGTCTTTGTGGAAGGTACGCATTTGACCAACCTCGTTATCGATACAGAAGGTTTCATCCGAGTTCTCGACCAACTGATGCACGGATAGAGTAGCGTTATATGGCTCCACGACGGTGTCGGATACCTTTGGTGAAGGGACCACGGAGAATGTAGCCATCATACGGTCTGGGAACTCCTCGCGAATTTTCGAGATCAAAAGCGTACCCATACCAGCACCAGTTCCACCACCGAGAGAGTGCGTGATCTGGAACCCCTGGAGGCAATCGCATCCTTCAGCCTCACGACGCACAACATCAAGGACCTGGTCCACCAATTCCGCACCCTCGGTGTAATGACCCTTGGCCCAGTTGTTACCAGCACCAGATTGACCAAAGACGAAATTATCGGGTCGGAAAAGTTGGCCGAAAGGACCAGCGCGGACGGCGTCCATGGTACCAGGCTCAAGATCGACGAGGACAGCACGAGGGACATATTTGTTGTTTGATGCCTTGAAAGCGGTGAGCTGCATATCATGGCAAAGAAAGATGTCCTCATAGTACCTCATTGAAGTAGACGTTCATACGCTCCAGCTGGAGGTCAGATGTTCCATTGTATCTAAACAGGGTCAGGGGTGTCCAAATGTTGCGTCGTCTTTTGCATTTGCTTACTGGCCAGAGCCATCGAGTCCATGCTCGCCAGAAATAGTCTGCCTGTGTATCGCCAATCACCATGAGTATGCCAATTATATCGCGTAGAAGGACTCGAGGATGAACGCACCAGAAAGCAGCACCAATTTGGTTACCCTAGCCGTGTCAGCTCTAATCCGCGTTGTCGGAAATGCACAGACTTACGCATTGACCGGTTTGGAGATGCACCTATACATCAGGAAGGGCAAAGGTCAGCTATGTGGTCTTCAACCAGCGGAGGAGAGGGTAAATGGCCAGGGACGCGTTTGGAAAATTGTTGTGTGGGGCGACGTACAATTTCACGCATCTTGACCTTGGAGTAAGATTGGAGACTTAACCAGAGTTTTTATTGAGTAGAAGAGAGCAAGTCAAGTGCTCGAGAGAGATATGAGTGTGGTGGAGTAGTGGTTTAGGAGAAGTGAGTTGGAGAGAGAAGAGCCGTGTTGTGGGACTGCAAGCGCGAAGCGCTTCGCGGGCTTGGCGTAAACACTGAGAGGAAACCCGATTCGCCACCACTACTAACTTCTGGTCTCCAGGTTTCAATCATGGAGTTCAATCGTGGAGCGCTCGAATCGAGTACGCACCCCAAAGGCCGTTGACCGTAAGAAATTCCAGGAGCTGTAGCGGAAAAATCATGTTGGTTCTACCGAAGTCATTATATAAATCATGATCATATTGCTATGCTAGATAATCGCATCATCCCATTACATATATATGAGACCTCATACCTTCTTCCGTATGAAGAGGCGTTTCAACACAGTGCTTTTAGGTTTCTTCGCCGCGAAAGAGACAGCCCGGTCATCCACCGGCTCAGCAGATGCGGCATCTATATCATCGGGCTTCTTTTCTTGCTCTGCGGCGATCTGCTCAATCTGCCCAATCTTCCAAACTCGCAAGAACCACATGCACACTGCTGCCGCTACGTACATGAAGCCTGTGAAGATCTGGGCGTGGAGGTAAATATTTCCACTTTTTTGCCTTAACTCGAGTGCTACGGGCTCAGCGACTAGATCACGATTAACCAAGCACTAAGGAATGATTACTGCAGGTGCAGTGATGTAACTTACACGTTGTAGGAAGGACTAGGACTATCCAGACAATAGACAAAGCAGAGGGTAGCTCTTTCAAGTCCACGACTTCCGCTCCGACAGGTGCAATCGTGGTCCAGAACGTACCTGCGACGGTACCAACGATGATGGCGAAGAAGACCAAGACACCATAGCTCTTGGCGAATATCCAAATGACGAAGCAGAATAGACCACCAATGAACGTGCAAAGCCCTGCCAGATTGATGCGGCCAGCCTTGTCTGAGAAGATCCCCACAAGAGGACGACCAAGCGCCTGCCCAAGATTAAGTACTGCCCCGATAATGGATCCTTGCTGCGCGCTTAAGCCAATGCTGGTGGCATAATTCGGCAGTGAAAAGAGTAAGACGATATAACCCATCATGCTGAAGAAGCCCCATCCTAGTAAGAGCAAGAACGCAGGTCTTTTGAACAGCGTATAGTCGAAGGCCAGCTGAATCGATCCAATAGCCTTGTTACGGTCCCTTATTAGCATGGCGCAAGTGCAATTGACCGCACAGGCCAGTATCCCCAGAATCCTGAAAGCCCATTCTACACCAAGTCGATCAATCATCGCGTTTGTAGCTAAACTGTACATCAAGCCCCCAAGGCCACTACCCGCAGTGCCGATACCATTGGCAAGACTTCTCTTCCTTGTGAACCATTGTGGTACGATACCGACAGAGCCCACGAAGAGAAACCCCATGCCAAACCCGAAGCAAACACCCTGACTGAGAAACAGCTGCCATATCTCATGTGTGAAAGATGCGCTGATTAACGCAAGAGTCTCAAGAGCAACGCCGAGTAATAATGTAGTTCTTGTTCCATACACTCGTGTAATGTACGTTGCGAGTGGCGATATTAACAGAGCCTTACGCAGGTTTCGGAGTCAGCATTGCTTACTCAAGGTAGGTAAGGGACTTGCAAGGCAGGTCTCTGGTGTAGAAAGGTCCTCTTGCTCCCCAAACATGTCTTGCAACTCAATCTCAATACCATATAGGAAGGAATAGCTCGGACATACACGTACCTGGGATATCGAGAGACCTCCGATAAAAGCGAACTCTAGTGCTGACGCTCCGGGGTAGTAATCGTTGGCCAAGTAGTATGCAAGAAAGACACCGTAGGAAGAATTGATGCCCCATGTATGTGCGTTTATGAAGAAAGTGCACACCACGCAGACCCAACCATAGCCTCCATCTGGTGGCTCGTCCACCACTCTCTTTTCCTCAGCCTGTGGCTGGTCTGCACCCGGTCCAGCGATAGTTGTTTCTGGACCAACAGGGGGACTATTGTGCCCATTGGCACTTGCTTTGGCAGCAGGATGAGGCGACTTTTTCCCGTTCATGGTGGTAGACGCCGGCCATGGGAAGCTCTGAAGGCTACGAAGGATCGAGGGGAATATGGGATCACGACTGCAGAATATCGAGGGTAGAAAGTTTGGAATAGCATGATTGCGCTGCTAGCTTGACTCCTGGTATTAATATTTTGCTAAAGAAAATTAGAGCATGTCATGCCACCATGCCATCACAATGCGCAAAAGGGGATTGCCGTACACCCGGTCTATACCCGGCTCGGCCGCTAGACGTAGAGCTCAGTCTCGGTAAAGGTGCACCCTTACATACAGGTAGATGGTCTTCAATTCTAGGTACTAAAGAAAACCCTAGAATCTGTCACTGTCGCTCTCAATCAGACATCCACATCCGCTCTCTACCAGCTTTCAATGGCACTTCATCTTGATGTCCGTCTCACGCTACAATGACTTTCCAAGATGACCGTTTGTAACGGAATCATATCAAGACGTCCAGACATTCCCAAAGCTTCTGTTCAAGTCTTTCCAAAGCTTCATAAGCACGCTCAAAGTCCTTCTGCGAGTCCTCTTTGCCTGGGATGTGAAGGTGCGTTGCATCGTCAAGCAAGCTGCCCACTGCTAGTCTCAATTCGATTGCTCTGGTTTTCACGCCTTGCTTCTGCTTCTCCAGCTCTGAGTTGTGCTTCATGACGACCTCCTGCAGCATCCCTAGACCAAAGTTGCCGTGCTTTCTTATTACTGTAGCTAGCCCTTCCTCATTGAGACACTTCTCCAGATTGCGTGCATTTGCACACCTAGAGACGACAGTATTCCGTAGCCCCAAATCCGAGTCAGGAGTATTCTCGAAGATTGCGTTGATGATCTCTCGAGAGTGAAAGAAATCACAAGCGGATTTGCCTATTTTGAACTTAAACTCTTTCAGCACAGGTATGTTGTACTTTCCCGCAAGAGCATTCACACCTGCCCATTTCGGAATGAGTATGGTTTCTTTGAGGCAAAGAAATCGGGTTCTAAACAAGTTTGAGGAGCATGATAATCAACATGCTCCCGAGACATGGCTGGGGGCTTATATATAGTATAGATTGAGGGATGTTGCTGCGAGAAATGCATTCACGGACGTTGTTCATGCGCTTACGATGCGAGATCATTGCATTATCGACCGTTTCTGGCTTCGAGCTTGTTTCTGCAACATGGCCATCTGTATCTTGTGATGGTGCTACAGCCACGACTCAGGGATCATCTGCGTCGTCATGATCGAGGGTGTAGAGGTAGGTCAGCACGCGTCGAACCGTGGACTGGTCGTCATCGTCTACAGTGATTGTTGCAGTCATTGCCTCCTACGAACACATCTGTAGCCGCTTCTTGACTCATGGCTTGCTAGGTGTGTACGCACCTTAAATACCGAATCACATGCTGCAGCAAAGAAATCGGAGCGTTGACAGATGACAGCGCGATGGACCGTGTAGACGTCTGATCCGCAATGGATTGTGAGGTCCAAGTACTTTGAAGAGTCAAAGAGGTTACTCAGGCTGCTGACGAGTTCGCTTTGATCGACGGTGGGCATGTGGTCTTTCGGCCCGTGTTTGTCCCTGTGAAGATGAGACGTGTGTGCTTGAAGGAGAACTTCTGAGCGATGTGACGAGGAGGAGAAGAGTCAAATATTTGTGCTGACATTTTGGTGACCAAGGTCGTAGATCTGGAGGATGAAGGTCGGTGACTTGGATAATTTCTCGAGCTTTGGGGGTTTCTGTGTTTGTGAGTGGAAGGGTGGAAGGGTGGAAGGGATTTATCTAAATAGGAGGCTGGAGCGTGGTAATATGCATGCTGTAGAGTATTTGGTATGCTAGGTTATCATGGACAATGTTCTGTTCATTGTATACATTGTTTCATGATCGTCTACTTCTTGAGTGCAGATGTCGCTGAACTTAATAAACGATCTAACCTCCCATCCATTGACTCATTTGCGAGACGGTCCGTTTCTGTTAGTGTCTTTGAATCCTCGACCTTTACACTATCGTGTAGTCCTTTGATTTTCTGCAGAGGCACGTTTATTGATTTCACCTGTGATGAATCATGCAAATGTCGCCAGTCAAAAGAACCGTAGATCATCCATGTGATAGCTTGGGATAATTGAGCTTACAAGGTGATGCTCGGAATGCATACACAGGACGAAAGATGCACGCTAAAAGATCTCACTTTCTTTGATTTCTAATTCGCCTTCAAATGCTTGTACTAACTATTGTCATCTTTCTCCCTCCACGGTCAGTCAAGCCTTCAACCTCCTCTCCTCACACGCCACACACACCGGCTTCTCTTCATTCTCCCGGGTGAAGAACCTTCCATCCTCGAAATGGCCTCCACACTCCTGTAGATACACGCATTAGAACACGTCCACCAGACATGCAGCCCGCTTTGTGCAAAGACTTACCACACAACAAAAGCATTCAGCATGCCACTCAGCACCTAGCGCGCTTAAGCCACCCTCGACGACCGGCTTCCTACATCCCTTGCACTTCCCGCTGAATTTTGCAGCATGACATCCCACACACCATGCATACCCATTCTTCTCCACGAAGGGCGTCTTCGCATCAAACGGATCACCGCACTCTGCGCAGAAGAAATGGCCTACGTGCCAGGATCCACCACAGGCAAGAACAACCTCACTCTCAATAGGCGTTTTGCAGCTGCGGCAGCGTGGAGAATACAGCTCATGGTAGTCGAGATGGCAGTAGAAGCGTAGAGATGAGTCACCGTCATCGGCTGCTGTTTCGCCTTCTTTTTCGTCCGGCAAAGCGTGGGTTTGGCAAGCTAGACGAGCTTCAATGCGTTCAACGCGAGCTGTGCGGGCAGAGTCGGGCTCTGGGTAGAACGCAACGCATTCTAGGGGTTCTGCGCAGTGGTGACAGGTGAAGCAGTGGGGATGAAAGCGTTGAGAGGCGGCGCTGACAATGCGGCCTTCGATAGGGAGAGCGCAGGCTGCACATTGGGCAGTAGCACGGCGGGAAGATGGGGTCCAGTGGAGCTTGGAAGAGTGGACTGGAGTGGTAGATGAGTGTTGGGGGAGCGGACGGTTGGCCGGCGAGTGGCGAGATCTGCTTGAAGGTGTTGGTAGGGGTCGCTTGGTAGGTGGGTTCTCAGGTGGCGAGAAGGTGGGGATTCCAGCCTCGGAAACAGAGATCGAGGGCGTGGAGTGTGAGTCGCTAGGCGGAACTTCATCGACTTGAATAGAGGGCGGAACCGGGACGTTGATTGTTGGTACTATGGGCGCCGAGGCCGTTGATGCTGGCATGTGCGGCTTGAAGCGTAGTCTCGCAGGACTTGCGGATAGCCCATCTAAGGAAGAGTCTTCCTTCTTAGTAGTATCTTTTGGCTTCCAGTCTTGCTCGAAACTAACGATTGGCCTTCCTGGCCTGTTGCTGACGACAGTTGGAGAAGGTAACTTCGGGCTTCTTTCCTTCATCCGCATACTTGTAGCAGCTCTGATATCGTCACTACGTATTTCCTTGCCGTCTTTGACCATTGGTATATCTGAGTGACTCTCTGCGTGATTAGCAATGACTTGGCCCGGTTTTACTGAGGCTGGTGGATTTTTTAGGTAAGAAGGGTTGTGAGATTGAGAAGGGGGGTTCCTATGGATTTCGGACCGAGAGACTCTCATGTTGTCTTCGGCAGAAGCAGTTCTTGAACGGAAGAACGATTTACTTCCAGTACGGTCTTTGGACACTGGATTGCGGTTCTTTGTAACGAGTGGTGCAGGTATCCTGCTCTGGTCTGACCCAGCGGGCTCAGACGTCTTTCTGTCGGCATCCGGCTCTTCATAGATCTTGTCCTTAGGGTTTCTGAATAGCCCACCACTCACATCTCGTGCTCTGGGTCCGCTGGATCGACGGTACCCTGAAATCCTGGGCAACTTTCCAGGCTCTAAACTCATATAGGCTTTCTTCTGTGGTGAGTCCCACATCGCATGGGCGGTCTGTTGGTAAGGTTGCGTCTCCTCGGTGGGCTTTTCGGGTTCTGCGAACGTGATAACTGTATTGCGAGTTGTTTGTGATAGATTGCTGTCGCCCTTACTAGAGTTTGACGTGTCGGAGGCTGATCGATGGCTCGTAGCGGAATCGCCTTTTACTGCGCCCTGCTCTGCATGCCATCCAACGCTCTGACTTCGAGCATGTGCCCCTTTCTCAAGATGATATTTGTAGCTGTGTAACCGATCTGGATTCTTCTGTGGCGACACTTGATTTCTGTGTTTCCAGACGAGCTCCGATGCTTCATCTTGAGCAGCGGCGTGAATCTTTGCCTCGTCCCGCAAATCCATATCCTCTAGCGCTTCCCTCAATGACCGAGCTTCCTGCTTCTCCATCCACCGCATTCCACTCTCTCTGTATGCTCCACTCGGGGTCATCGGAGGCGCTCTAGATATTGTGGAAGCTGAAAAGTCTCGTGAAGCCACAGACGCCCTGAGCTGTCCTAAGGCTGCGTCTGCAACTGGCATGTCCGATTGCGCTCGTCTATGTGACAGTGCACTCGCAGATCTCTCATGTTTCGGGGCCATGATTGGGTCGGCTTGTTGCGTTGAGCTTGAGGGTCGGAATGATAGAGCAGAGGATGCTCTGGCGAAGGGCTCTGCCGTGGACGTGGCCGCTCGGCCGGGGAATGGTCGTGAGCCACCAGGTCGCGCAGGCCGGTTGACACGAAGGTCTTTTAGATAGTCTGCCTCCCATTTCTTGTGTGAGCTAGGGGCTGGTGGAGGATTCGAGCTCGATGACGAAGCGAAAAACTTCAATCCCGAGGATCGCCTTCTTGGGGCTTTAGGAGCGCTTGGTTGGTTGGCGAGCTCATCTAGGGGTGCTGTGGAAACATCTATGCCTCCAAAATTACCATACTCATCTCGGTGGCCCGACCTATGCAGTAAGCTCATTGTCACCTTTCAACGGTGTCCAGGACCAAGGCGCTTAGATTTGGTGAGAATAATGCTTATGGAACACCACTCTGTGCGCTGCTAGGATGAGAGAGAGTTCAACGAGTGTAGAAAAAAATTGTTGAAGACAATGCTGTGGAGGAATGATGCGCGAAGCAAGATAGCGATATGAGTATGTTTTCTGTTTTCGATAGTAGTCTAAAAATGGGTGTGGGGTCAACACCAATCAGGTTGGCCCACCAACATAGTGGGCGCGAAATCTGCGACACGAACATTCTTGACATTTACAGGAAGACCCATCGATCCTTTGATCAAGTTCGTCTGGAACGCCTTCCGGTGGGATTATGAATCGGTAGGACCCATTTCTGACAGATGGCAGAATAAAAGCGAGATCTTATCCGCAGAGACCATACAAGATCAGGTCAAATTTCATGAAACCGCGAAGAGTCGAGCCATGTTAGTACGATGGATAGGAGCCAGTAAAAGCGTCATAAGCAAAAAGCTCTGTGGGGTTTGAGAGTAGGGACAGCAAAGCTGGTATGGATAAGAAGTCTAGGTCAGTCATAGCTCTTTGAGATATGATGCTGTTCTTGTTGCAGTCGTTAGGGCATATCGTACATCCTTCGTCCATATCGTATATGTTTCTGCAGTCAGTTGCCAAAGCTGTTGAGTGGAGATTACTCCCGTGTCGGGTTCCCGTCGAGTGGTTCAATGTCCATGATTATCCTCTTGGCCTCTTCGCTGCCCTCCACTCAATACAACCATCATCCCCATAACCTCCCCTGAATAACATGACTCTGTATGCTTTCAGCATGTCAGGCCAGTTGGTCAAATCGTTATTTGAGCCCTCTGTAGTACTCTCCACTTTGCCAATGAATAGATTGTACGTGATGGGTAATTGATTCAAAGGCTCCAACGATTTACATCTTGGCTCGGTCAAGTCAAGATTGAAGTAATTTCGCCATGAGATCTCGATATTTTTCAGGCCTTGAGCTCGCGACAAAACTTGGCGGACGATCTTGACATTAGCACGAAGTGCTTCAATGCCAGAGAAGGTGGTATTTGTTTCCTTTACTTCCCCTTGAAACAGTCGAATATCCAAGATGCAGGTACGGATGTAAGGAAATTGTTTTGTGCGTGCCAAGGAATGGAGGGCACCATCCACATTGGACCCATGGATCTTATTTCCCCTGAAGATGAGGTAGACGTGAAGCGTCCAGGCGGTTTCTCCATAAAGAACGGAGATAGCTTCTACATGAACCTGTTTGCTGACCTCAAGTACCGCCGTATAGAATGTACGATCGTTGTAGAAAGTTACAGGACCTCTGACATGTCGGCCCAAGCGTGATACTCGCGGCTTTGAGATGAAGAGCTCTCGATATATTTGGAGTCGTAGTTCAGTGGGCAAGGACATGAAGGTAGCCATATAGACTGGTAGTCCTGGAAAGTAATAGATACCTAGCAGTGATGCAACACGACTCCCTTTGCAAGTAGATGATGGCAGCTCACTCCATAGATCCTGGAATTCGAAGTCAGCGAGCATCTCATATGAAATTGCAGCAGGTAACCAGGCGTGCCCACCTTACACGATAGGTCCTGGGATATTCGGTCGCCAGAAAGGTAGAGCTCCTATCGCCGCAGCTCCAACGGAGCAGATTCTATGACTCCGGCTCAACTTCGAGGCTTGAGGCTGATATTCGACCTTATCATTAGGCCATCAAAGCCGTATGCGATCAGTCTTTGCGTCTCCAAGACTTCTCGATTATCGAGCATTTGGAGCCTATGGTGAGAAGGCTGCTCACAATGCGGCCAGGAGGAGAAGGATCCAGATTCTGATGAAGGCCTGCGGATGTGATAGACCAATGGTCATAATCTTGGTCTCCAAGGCCGAGCCTAGAGTGAGCGTTCAAGCGGGTGTCGAAAATGTCCCTCTGGCAGAACCTCGGCGCTTTCCGAGAGATCTCGCCGCGCGCTTTGTTAACTTCACGCGTCGAGAAGTTGCCGTTAAGGATGGGAAGGAGCTACATGGCAATGACCGCCTGCGATGTTTGATACAGGAGATCATGAATCTCACCAATCATTGTCGGATTTCGGGCAAGCTCGAGACATCTTCTTGCCTCCTATATCGAATGCAGTTGGGACAATACTTAACCAAGAATATCGGAAACGCAAGCTCACTAACGTTGAACACGATGATGACATCAGAGAAGGGTTCACCATAAAGGTATGGTCATAGGAAAACGTAAAGAGTATCTGTTAACAGGCTTAATCAAGTCACACCCATCGCTTCCATCCGCCCAAACACGGAAGTTGATACCAAGGTTACAACTACCACGATCATGTCTGCCTCTGGCCTACCTCGACCCGCTTGGAGGCCAGGAAGCCCTTCCCGGCTCCAACTTGTTCTCAGCATACATCGAAGTCCTCGAAGAAATTGTGCATCAGGACCCACGGTCAAATCAACCGACGGTCTTGATCGCACAGTCAGCTATTGATGACGGGCTCTTTGCTATCGAGCGTGTACAAGAAGGAATCTACGCAATATGTAGACTGGGTAATTGGGTGAGTGTGGATACACTTGCACGACTGCAAACCGTGCCTATAGATATTGTACGCCCGCGAAAAAGACAACATCAAGGGCAGCCAGGACTTCCGGGAGACAAATGGTGGAGCACTGCCGCAATTGCCTTCAGGTCCGAAACCATATGTGACCTGGGTAAGAAGTCGAGTGGCGAAAAGTCTCGCGGAGTGCGATTGTGCCTGCAACCGGCCCAACGGGAACCAACTACACCGGCCCAAATTACCCAAGAAATATCTCAACCCGTTTTGCAGGATCAGACCGGAAACGTATTGACGGACATGGTGGAGGAAGCAGCGCAAGACCCAGAGGAGGTGCTCAAAGCGGTCAGGGCTCAGTACCAGGAGGCTTTATATGCGTCTAAGGTAAAGCGTTTTTCATGCACGAGTTTTGGCCTTATTACTGATTGCTTGTCAAGTCGTCGTTGGCATATTTTGCAAAAGGGCCATTGTCTCGAGCACGGGCTGCATTTTCCATCCCCGATGGCTCTGCCAATAACCACTCGCATCTGACTTCATTCTTGAGATCTTGCATCCTGCCACTTGCTACTATGGACACCAAGTACCGGGAAGCATTGCCGGAATTAGTCAAAGGATTCCCCTTCGAATCGCATTCGGACGACGAATGTACTACCGTAATTGAAACGATTAGCAAGAAAATTCGCAAGTCCAAGAAAATCAGTGTTGGCAAAAATGGCTTATATCCAGGAGAAGAAGCCAACATTGCTCGATGGTGGCTTAGCAGAAATCTATCTTCTGTTGCTTGTGATTCTGCAGATGCAAGAGAAGACGCGACCAGGTCAGCTGTGCTTGAGCAGAGGGCTAGAGAAATTCAAATGCAAATCATTCTCTCTCTTGAGACTCTTGCACTAGAATCGTTAGCGACAAACCAGCCAGTGGAGAATTCACCACCAACAGATTTCATAGAAGGAGACGATGGCTCAAAGAATAGAAAAAAGAAGAAACCCAAGAGGCCCCAGGACCTCAGCATGTTGTTGGATCTACTTGTCGACCGCCTGTGCATTTGGCAGTCAATGAGTGTAGATGAGATGAAGACCTCAAATGGAGAGGACAGGCCTGTATCTCCACATGGAGCAAACTCAGCCGTGAAAGCAGCAGGCAGAGACCATCTGCGGCAATTCTGTGTAGATGTTGTGCTGCCTTTGTAAGTTTCTTTCCTGCTCGCTATGCGATTGCTAGTCGCTGAACATTATAACATTATAGCTATGGAGCACGCCTGCCAGAGTTGACGACTTTGCTTTGCCAAAAGCTCGGAGGGTCTAAGCAACCTTCGCCGAGGCGGCCACCATTGGCGAAATCTGCATCATCCTACGGATCACTAAAGCCTGGTGCATCGGTGCAAAGACAGCAAATCCGAAGACCTCAACGTACTTTGGAACGTGTGCTGACCGACGAGCGAACTGCCTCCCAAAAGCCACCGCCGTCCTTGCCACGATCTGCCACTGACCCTGTCTTGCCCCAAGTGAAACGCGAAGTCAGTGACACATCTTTGTCGTCAATTCCGCTCAACAGAGTCGCAATGCACAAGCGCTATGGCCAGCGAGAAATAGATTTACACGCAACATCACAGGCTGCCGAGGCTAAGCTCAAGAAGAAAGCGAGAGTAGAGCAGGAGCTTCGAGGTGCAATCGCCGCGCTGAAGAGGCCCAATCCTCGCATGGCGGTCAAGGACCTAGTCGAGTATGCAGAGAGAAGAGCGGCAACGTCACACTCGAGAAGTATAACATGCTCAGCCGAAGTCTACATTTTCGATGCTAAATGTCTGCAGAGCCTAAGAACCCTGTTCGTAATCCTTTCGCCCAAGGCGCTCAAGTTATGGCTACGCCAAGCAACAATAGACACAAGGACGTTTACGGCGGTCTGACACGTTTTCCACGGCAAAGTATAGCGTCACTACCTGAGCTAGAAGAAGTCCCACCGTCAAGCATTTCTTGTGTGCCTTCATCTTCAAGGAAGCCAAGACGGTCGCCATTCTTAGCCCCAGATAGCACAAGAAAGACCGACAGCAGCGCTTTGGCTTTGGCTGTCGTTGAAACACCAACGAGAGGTCCATCCAAGCTTTGGGGCCGTCCTCCGATCTCTACAGCGGCGATAGAGTCTGTTGCTGATCTGTCTCACCCACCGCCTCTATCAGCAGCATTGAATCCACCTAAAGCTTCCAATGGCATATTTACTTCTCCTCAATTGCCTTTGCAGGTTCATGAGACGCCATCGAAGTTTCGTTGTTCGCATCAAGTTGAACGATCTGAAGATGCTAGCATCAGTGCAACGCCAGTCAAAGCTCCGCCCCTTGCGAACGAAGCTGCGGACAACTCGCCAAAAGCTGTCTTGTCGCCATCATCGCAGGGAAAGGAGGAATCTATCTACGCGGCTTTGGGATGGGATGATGATGTTGACGAACTGTTATAAATTTGAAGTCTTTCTCCTGCATCATCCAGCGACGGTGTTTATTGCAAGGGGCAATGAGTTCTAAGGCGTTTCGGAGCTGCTTGCATTAGCGAAGGAGTCAAACACAGGTCTAATGATAGCACGAGACGTAAGATAGTAGCTCCGACCCCGATATTCGTGACTCTGGGAGGGAAGTTGACGTGGCTAGAGGTCTCAAGCTCTGGGCGTGCTGTCAGAGGGGTGGCAGTTGCAGTGGTGCTATCCCGAAATACCGGCGCTGAAACAATTTGGTCTGCATTCACACAAACAATGCAAAAGAAGCGAAACCAAATCAATACGCAAGACTGTCACTGTCTTTTTTCTCTATAGAATGACAGTCAGTTAGTCTGGCAAATAACGAAGGTAGATTTGATATAACGCTAGTCCTAAAACGTCACAAAGTAGAAAACGCGAACACGTCCTCCACGTCTCGCACATTCACTTTATCGCTTTACAAATTCGAACCGCACAACGCATTGATTGAAGCTCATTACTTCTGCTTTCAAATCCCTCCTTCCAAGCCCCGCAGTCCACTCTCCTTTGGCACCTTCTGACAGAATGCCTCCTCGCAAAAGCAACATCTCGCAAATCAGCGCTGCGGGCGACGAAGGCACTCCGGTCAAAGAGCGCGAGGGTATTAATATTGAGGTAGGTCTGAATACCCTTACACCCTTCTTCTTCTCTCCAACCTGATGAGTTCCTGTCCTCAAATCACCCTCAATGGCCCGATCGCAGAACTCTCTTCGCACTTCACTCTCCTCTTTCTTGGCTCCTCTTCTCTGCTACACAGAACACGATGGCTAATAATCTGCCACGGCTATCAGGACCTCTCCCTTCCCCGTACAATGGTCCAACGTCTCGCCAAAGGCGTCCTCCCCCCCAACACCTCCTTACACAAGGACGCCATCCTCGCCATGAGCAAAGGCGCCACGGTCTTCATCAACTACCTCGCCCACGCCGCCAACACCGCCTCCCTCTCCACCGGCAAACGCACCATACCGCCCAACGCAGTCATTGAAGCCCTTGCGGAGCTCGAGTTTCAGGACTTCGGGCCGAGGGTGGAGGCCGAGTTGAAGAAGTTCAACGAGGTGCAGACGGGGAAGCGGAATGAGTATAGGAGGAAGGTCAAAGAGGGCAAGATGAGTGGTGCGAAGGGGGAGGATGGTGGTGAGGAGGGGGAGGATGAGGAGGGGAGGGCGAAGAAGAGGGTCAGGAGGGAGGAGGGGCATGAGGGGCATGAGGGGAGGGAGAGGAGGGAGAGCGGGACGGGGGATCCGAGCGCGCAGCTGCAGACGGGGTATAGGGAGTACGAGCCCGAAGACCCCGAAGACCCCGACGACGACGACGACGACGACTTTGACGCCGAAGGGCAGACGGGTGAGGAGGGGGGGAATGATGCGTCTAATCTCGAACCCCGGCCAAGAGCTTCGCGAGACGAAGAAGAGGAGGAGGAGGAGGAGGATGAGGATGAGGACGAAGATGAGGACGAATATCCGGATGAGGGGAGACGGCTTAGTTCGGTGGAGAGAGAGGCGAATGGGAGTTTTGATACCCCGGGGGATGATGCGGTCACGCCTGGGAGTTCGGCGGATGAGGTCTTGAGTGAGGACGAGGGCAGTGATTGAGGGAGGCTCGTGAATGAGGACCTCGGGAGAACAGGAAGAGCTGACAACGGCGTTTGTGGGTCGGGCATCCTCGATCGGAAAAGGAGACGCTTGCTTGATTCAGATGGGATCAAGACATCTACGCGGTTGCCTCTTGTGTGGCTTCCCTGACCGACCGGGCCGGATGGACTCGGTATGTGGTTATCATTTGCATAGCGAATGTCTACCTGGCTAAGATTTGGAAAGCTGGGGCAGTCATGTGGGCCTAGTCTCCATCCCGTGTGGACACTGCTGCATCGATCCACCCATCTCGCTGCATCTAGCGGCTCCACAAGTCTGGCTATCTTGAAGAGATCGGGTGCCATGCATTTCATTTCATTCCTTCATAGTCTCCCCCTCTGCCACCGTAGCTCCATCATCGCCCCACAACCCCTCCAATTTAAACTCCGCCGCCCACTCCTTTACAATCTCCTTGCTACCCGCACCACCTTCCCCTGCCTCAACCTCCTTGGGCGCGTCAACCCACCCTCTGATCCTGCCATCCCGCCAATCCATCAGCACGCCCATGGCCGCGCTCTGCAGATTCGGCACACCCCCCTTCCCCAACCTGCCCCTTTTCCTCGCGACCTGGATCAGGAAATCCGTCGTGACGTCTCCATTTGCACCCGCCGACACGAGCGTTGAGGGTGGGAGACTGTACTGGTCTAGCAGTGGCTGCAACGTGGCTTCGGAGCGTGAGAGACGGTGGAGGAGCAAAGTGATGGCGGGGATGGGGTCGGTGATTGCGGAGGGCGGGAGGGCGGAGAGGAGGGTCAGGTTTGCTTGATGGATTTGTTTCGAAGAGAGATGGGGATGTGTCTCGCCGTTCGCGCCTTGGCCGGAGGATGAGGGGAAGACAATACCCGGAGAGTCGAGCAGTTTTAGTTTGTTGTCGAGCTTCACTTCTCGCAAAGCGGTTGTGACGCCAGCTTCTGCGCCTACGGGGCATGCAGTTGAAGATGAGCGGGAAAGGCGGGAGGTCAGAGCGTTGATGACAGAGGATTTGCCCACGTTGGGGTAGCCGACTATGCCGACCGTGGTGCTGCGTTTTAGTTGTTGGGAGGAGGCGTAAGATTTCAGGGCGCGGAGTAGTGTTTCGCTTGTGCCTTTGACTGTAAGAGCTTTGTGATCGAATGTGCGGGCGTTGGGCGCGGATGTATTCGCTCGAAGGGGAAGCGTGGGAAAGTATCGGCGGAGGTAGACGAGCCAGGCTTTTACCACCGGTGGAGGTACAAGGTCAATCTTGTTGAGGACGAGGATCAGCCGTTTTGACCCGGCGTCTGCGGCGGTGATTTCGCGTTCTATTTCTCGGGAGCGAGTGCCGTTGGGATCGCGGGCATCGAGGACGTAGAGGAGGATGTCTGAGGTTGAAAGAACGGATTTGAAGACTTTGTCGAAGGCGCGGCGGGAGGATTCGAGTGTTTGGGGACCGGAGCTTGGGAGGGAGCTGGCGGTTGTGAGGACAGCGCCGCCTTCTGTTTCATCGTCTTGGTCCATTTCGTCCTCGTATTCGTCTGGCCCATTCTCATACTCCGCTGCTCGAGCTTTGGCAGAGGCTAGCAGGGCGCTCATGGGGTTTGCGGAGTCATCGGGCGTATCTTCGTCCATGTCTTCATCATCGAGGAGGTCTGAGAGTGTGTCCTCGCCGTCCACATTTGATGCCACTGGGACATTCTGGTCTGCTGATGCGGCAGCTTTTGTCACTTTTGCTTCTTCTCTCTTCCTCTGAAATTCCTCCTCCTTCAAGCGCTTCTTCTCTTCGATCTCGTGGAGGATGCGGTCTTTGTAGGGGAAGAGATTGGGGATGCCCGGATCCTTCTTTAATCGTGACCGCCATTCTGGATTCTAAAATATTGATGAGCTAGGTCAGGTGCTGAGGTGTGGAAACAGGCCAGACGTTTTTTGCAAGCTTCTTTTGTTTTCGTTGCTTCGCAGCACTAGCTTTCTCGATCTTATGCCGTAATCGCACCGGTGTGCGTTTCGACTTGGGCTCTGTAACGTGATTAGTACTTTATATTATAGATGAAGCCATGAGTAGGTATCCCACTCCCAGGTTTATTAGCCATTATGAATTTTGTGTGCCTTGTTCAAGCCTGGTCCTGCTGCAGTTGCGGTTTCAAATGGTGAAAAAAAGTTCGTGCCGAGGTACTCTATGCCAAGATTTCGCATGCTACGGAGTAGCCTATTCGCTGCAAGGGTCTGTGCCGCTTTACTCGTGATGGTAAATATAGATTTGGATACATCTATAGATACTCTACAGCTGTTGGAAGGCTTTCTTACATAAAGCTGGTGCTCCCTACTCTTAAGCCTTGAGCGATTGTAGGCACTCACACTTATTGGTTCTGGAAAGCTGAGGGAAAACCACCCGTCTTCTACTTTTCTCTCGGGAGTCCCACGGCTTGAAGTGCTTATTTCAACAGCATATTTTATTGAAGGCGCCCAAGAGAAGGTAGGTCAGAATTTTCGTAACTCACATGATGTTTGGTTTCAAGATTCGTTCTGAATGACCAATGCTACAGATGCTAAGCCGATCAGATTCTTTTTGGCACGATAGACTTTTCCTCCTAGATTCACTTTCTCACGTCCGACATTCCCCCATCAGTCGATTAAAGCAAAGACGTCCGAAATAACATCAAGATGCCATTGCTAGAGGAGAACCCAGCGTTTACAGGCCGGCCAGAAACCCACAAATTTGCCGGAATCCTCTTTGATATGGACGGAACCATAGTCGACTCAACAGACGCTATCGTCAAACATTGGCACAAGTGCAATCTTCTCGGCCGCGCGTCGTGTGTGAGGCGCATTTCAGCTTACTGTCTGTAGAATAGGCAAAGAACTAGGAGTGGATCCTGCCATGATACTGCAGTCTTCGCACGGGAGGAGATCGATAGATACGTTTCAGCTGTACGATCCAAGCAAGGCCAATTGGGAGTGTCAGTGGTCCAGCTTTGCCCCGTGTTTGCATGACTGACATGCGTCGGGCTAACGAAAGGCTAGATGTCCGTCACGTTGAAGGCTTGATCCCTAGACAATTTGGGCTCGACGCTGTTGAGGTGCCTGGGGCCAGAAGTGGGTCATGACCCGATCTTCATCTCAAAGAAGGCATGCTGACTCCGGAAACATGAAGACTTGCTCGCATCGCTCGAGGCAGCCAAGGCGCCATGGGCAATCGTAACAAGTGGTACACGACCTCTTGTAACTGGATGGCTTGACGTAATGAAGCTTGCTCATCCTCGGAACTTGGTCGTTGCGGAAGATGTGAAAGAGGGAAAGCCAGGTCGGTCAAGTCCTGATGAGTGGTTGAGAGATGGCATCGATAGACACTGACGAGATTAGATCCCGAATGCTATCGTCTCGGGCGAGAAAAGCTCGGCCTAAGCGCCGACACCAGGGTTCTCGTGGTCGAGGACTCTCCGGCCGGCATCCGTGCTGGAAAGGCTGCGTCGTGCAATGTGGTTGGGCTGGCGACAACGCACGATATCGCGCAACTGCGAGAAAATGGCCCCGATTGGATCGTCAAGGATCTTCAGAGTGTTCGGTTTGTCAATAGAAACGCGGATACAGGGGAGGTTGCCATAGAGATTTTGCACTCGCTAGAGTAGAAGCGCAATGATCTTCTTCAGGCATCTTTGCGAGCGGTACAACATAAGTACTTGGTACCCAGGTCGAGGGATGGGGAGGGAGTGGGGAGAAGAGGGGGGGGGTTTGGGTTTGAGTGGTCTGGTAGAGATCTAGATTTGAAGCCTCAAGGCATCTTGAATAGCAGACGTTGGTGCTGTTGGATCATCGCCGGGAAGCGCGAAAAGGAAGGTCGAAAGCTTGTAATGACCCTTGTCGACTTCATTCCCCAACTTGCTCTAGCTCATTGTACTTCCGTTGCCACCGAGTGTAGGAATTACCGGATACGGACGTCTTTTTCTTTGCTTTTCGGTTAGAATTCCGCCGATCAGTAGAAAAAGGGGCAAAAGATCGTCCAAGTGACGAAGCGGGAGGATTGACGTTGACGATCTTTGCGCTTTGGGGCAATTCGCCATTTTGTGCCGAAAAAGAGATATGCGACGAATGATGATGAGACATGGGCGGTGTGGCAGTACTAAGGTTCAAACGGCCAGTCGGCCCTTGCACCTTGCGTCGCGGAGTGCAGACTGCACCGTCGCAGCTGAGCGTTTCCTTCCCCGTTTTGTTCTACAATCTTGACAGGGGCTGCCCCTGGGGCTTGTGGCGTCCATTAGAACAGCTGAAGTCTTTCTGAAAGCACACCTACCAGAAAAGCGCCGCCGTTGGCTTGGATATGTGCGATGTCGGTTAGAACGGAGTGATAGCCTAGTAGGGAAGAGGAGAAGCCGGTTTGACAGCGCAGCGCCAAGAGTTTGGTACTTGGAATTGATCATTCGATGCGACGCCTTATTAGTACGGAGGTAAGGTAGTCATGAAGCAAATACGAGGTATCTGAGCCAAGTGTGCTCAGTTCCAATCGTGCAATTAATTAATTAATTACCTCAGGCGTGTGAGATTCCTTTTCGGATTCAACAGGTGGTGAGAAGTGTCTTCTTCGAGTCGTTCAGGTCTCATGTGTTCTGGAGGCTTGCAGGTACGGCTTCCGACAGGATGACTACCGAACACTGTTGCACTCGCAGTGCCGTGAACCTAGGCAACTTGACAGCTGTCTCACTCTCCACACTACCTACTAGGTACTACTTGTATGAGAAATGAAAGTCTGAAGTTGCCCCAGTCTGCCGGTAAGAGGGGCGGGAGGGGCATTCGAAGCTATGTAGGAATTCCGACGATCTCGATGATCTGCAAGGGAGATAAAATCATCCGGAAAGTGCTTTGGGAGCCTCAACACTCCCACTTCAACGTCGTCATGATCATCCCGACAAAGCGCGCTTCCCGACTTTCCGACTTGCAACGACTATACTTTGATCCAACCATTTACCGAGACCTGCGCACAGCTGCACCTATGTATCCTTGACCTTATGGTCTGGGGCCACGCGCATTTCAGTGGACGACTCTTTCCATCACGGCAGTTGATTGCTCTTGAGCGCTGAGAGTCTAAAGAGTCTAAAGTACTGACTCCTACCCTACTGATTCTATTGTTCCATCTTCGATACCGCCTAACGGCAATCCCCCACTGCCACATGTTGCTTACCCACCAGATACTAAATGGTACTAATGCAGTCAGCGTGTATCCATGTATCCAGAAATAGGTCCCTGCGTCACCAGCGCGATCGTGCCGACAACGTCTGTTTGCCTCGCCACACTGACCTGGTGTTGACCTAGATGTATGATTGGGGGTGGAAATTACAATGATAGGAATGAGTTTAGTCAGACGGTGGACCGGAGGATAAATCGAGTTCAAACCATGGACAGATGAGATGGCAGGAGTAAAAAGGATCAGGATCAAAAATAGCATAGTCAGTCGTGGGAAGGACCGTAATTGCGGCCAGGGGTATCTGGGAATAAAGTAGCGGTAGGCCTCGTGGCAGATCTTAGCGAACTATCGCGGAGTATCGCTTTAGACACGCTTTTCCCACTCTCTCTGGCCTCTGGCAGTGACGACAGTAGTCATGTGAAGACTCGTATACGATCCAGTTATGCTTTGGATGATGTGGAAATTGATGATCACGCAAGGGGGAAGTCGAAGTACCTCGTGCCTCAAGTAGCAGAAATCCGAACGCTATAATTCTTCTCGCTTCGACTCTTGTGCATGCGGCATATGTGGAGAAAGTTGACTTGAGGCGCGCGGTGAATTGAGTGGATGGATTGATGACGGCAGTTGAACCAAAGGAAAGCCTGGACCACCCTCCAAGTTGCAATCGAGCATACACGATTGCAGCAAGCAAAACCCAAAGCCTGATTTGCACGGCAGGGAAGTCTTGGTACCCGAAGTCTTGGCTGTGAACAAGGCTAATGGATTTATGGACTAATGAAAGGGAGGCTAAGGTAAGTTAGGTAGCCGCTAAAGATGGGGCAAGGAACAGGGGTAATGTACACACTACTTTACCTTACACACTAAAGTACCGTCCGGCGTCCGCCAGCCCAAGACTTGACCAGTCCTTTAGCGGTGCCCCTAGCCGCGGGGCCCTCCCGGAGCTTTCGCGCCGTTCGTCGGTATCTTTTTCGCCCTCTCTCTCGCTCTCGCTCTCTCTCTCTCTCTCTCTCTCTGTCTGTCTCAATTCTTTTCCAAACAGATTAAACGTTAGTCCACTCGTTGTTTTCTTCAGTAATACTACCTGATCCCCTCGATCTTCCTTCTGTGTACCCTTTTGAAGAAACCCTCACACTCGCTCACCCAACTTGGTCTGCTTTATCGACCCATTACATTCGCTTTTTCCTCTTCTCTTGCAAATCCATTGGATCCGTTTCCCCCCCCCCCCCTCCTTCTACCAATCGTAGCTGCCCACTAACACCCGGAACCGCTCGAAACCACCCTCCAGAACATACACTTCCCATCACCAGATCACATTGTCACGATCCCAAGTACTGTTCCTGGGCTTGTCCATAGCAGCTGAAGCTCTTCGGCGACTCCTTGTCCCAAAACGTGCTGGGTCTCCCGAAAGTTCAAATATATTACCGAGTATATTGACTTGCTTGCTCTCGAAAGCCCTGCGACTCACGGCCATTCTTCCTCCCAACACCACATGCGAAACATGGTCAATTGATTCCCGCAATGGCACACAATCATTACGAATATTCTCAACCAGAGTCTATGTTCCCCGCTGCAGACTCCGCCTACCAATTCCCGGGCTCAATGCCAAAGAATGAGTCGCATGATTACCACACCGCTGAGGATACGCCTTTCCAAGTCAATTACAAACCATACAACGAACGACAATCCTATCCGGCTCAAAACATTTCAAACACCGACGACGGTGACTTAGGAACACGTTCCCGTCTCACGCAAGAGCAGCTAGCTACACTGGAAGCCGAATTTGCCGAGAGATACAAGCCGAATACAGAATACAAGAAGTCTCTAGCCGAAAAGATGGGTGTTGAATTTCAAAAAGTCAACGTAAGTGGCCACCCTGCGTGTGTCATATTTCGTATTGACCTTGGTCGCAGAATTGGTTTCAGAATCGCCGAGCTAAAGCCAAACATCAGAATCCACAAGAGCGGAGATATGATGTTTCACCGGAGCAGGAGACCCGTCAAGGTCCAGCAACCGCATTCTCCTCAACGGAGTACGAAGGAATGCCTCAATCTTTTCCCTCGGAAAATTTCTCTTCCCCAGGACAGGGCCCTGTCCTGTCAACAGATTTTGCTACCGCCTTTGACTTCCCCAACTTGGAGGAGATGAATCGACAGTACAACGCTAATATGAGCGGCCTTCCGAATTTCGACAGCAATACAACTTTGCAACCCGATTTTTCCAATACTGCAGTAGCCGATCCTATGTGGTCGACCGACTCTTACGATATCTTGAAGATGCCGTCTCAAACGGTCGTGGAACGAGACCTATTTGGATGGTCTCCAGATTCTTTCGCTGACGCATCTGCCCAAATGCAGGGCCAAAGATTCATCCCTGGCCACACCGACGCTCAATCTCAACCAATGTACCACACTGCTATTGACGGGAGCCCTGTTGGAAATCCCTCAACCCAGAGCTTTGTCACGACTTCTTCCGAGGGAGGTGAGCCTCAGGAATTCATGACTCCACCACAAGGGACTTCTCCGATGCGGAGTCTCAACCAGTCAATTTTCCCGCATCGAGGATCGGATTCGTCTGATTTGGCAGCAAATTTTGACACCATAAACATCCAGCAATCACGGGCTGGACTCGGCGGACTACGTGGGACATCCAATCCTGCGTCTGCAACCGCACTTGTCTCCACTACTGGTCTTGCAACGCCTCAAGTCAGTCCTGATGCAATCGTCTCCAAGTCGCCCTTTGCGGCGGGCTCTTCGGAACTCGCTGCGAGGAAGAGGCGTCCACGACCGTTGGCCCTTCAGAACGATTCGAGCCGAAGCATATCATATACAGGACCTGTAACATCGTCTTCGCACCTGCGAGCGTCTCCCCCAGGTTCACGCAAACAATCACCAGTTCGCCGTATCAGATCGACGGGAAACAATATGAATGTCATGACTGGAAGAGTAACAAAACCTGGCACGGTATCTGCTCAAATGTCCCCTCGGAACTTCGAATCCTGCTTCCAACTGGCTTCATTGTCGGAATCTCAGCCGAACGCGTCTATCAACGCACACATCTCTCAAACACCACGTGCTGAACAGAGCCTTCTCACGCCATCTTCTGCCACCTTCGCACCACAGGCCCATGGAACTTGGCCAAGTTATGCCTCCAGTTGCAGTCCATTGGCTCCGAGCTGGGAGCAAAGCGTCCATGACAGCAGCGCTCCTGCCTACGCTGCTCAACACGGCTACAACTTGCCTCCATCACCTCCGGTCTACCAAAACCCAGCCTCTCAAATACCGTTTGAACAGGCGCATCACCAGCAGCCATTTGCGTTTCACTGCCCTCCGCAGTCCGCCCCTCCGCATCTAACAAGCTTCTTTGACGCCTCGCCTTCAATGCCAGCTGACGGGTTCAATGCGGGCTGGCCTACTCCGTCAGTCACACCACCGGAGCCTTATCGACACGGTCCACAGATGCCTTTGCCCATGCGACCAAATCACACGCTCCATCATAGTCACAGCGGACCAATGAATTTCTTTGCAGGTACACCACAAAGCTTCCCGAGCTCCCACCCTAGTATGGGACCTTTCCAGCCTTACCAAGCACCTTTTCAGAGCACGCCTCCTGCGCCCAAGGAGCTCGACATCAAAATTGATATCGGTCCGCCTGTTCCATCTCAACATGGGCAAGAGGTCAAAACGTATACTTTTAATCACAGCACGCCCAAAGACTTTTCGCCTGGCAATGGAAAGAAGTAGCCATCAGCGAGTCATGGCGGTAGAATGGACCGCGGAAACTGTCATTACTAGGGCCCCTCGACTTGGACTGTCAGCCTCTGGAGTGAGGAAGCAGGCGTCGAGCGGGCAGCGGTCACCGAAGATTGTCGAGCAACGATGTACGAGTATCACGCTTCTTTTACGGTCCGCCTCACGAGGGTCAATCGTTGAGTGTAGAGGAAGGTTCAGTTTCGCAAGCCTGCGTGGGATAGCGGTCTGGACAGACACATACAGCTTAATATACTAATACTAATTCGGCGTTGATATTCGAGGCGCATCTACATAACGAATTTGTCGATGGTCAAGCATATAGATTTCTATGCACGGGCAACAAGAGTGATTGTTCTGCTATATCCTGCCATTTCTCCATGACTGGAACATGACACGCTTGCGGGGCCACGGGGAGCGAATGGGAGGGGGATACCCCTAAATCGGGCGAACAGGAGCATTTGCATTTGGCGCATGTGATTGTATGAGATAGCAGGCGTGTTGAGCGTTCTTTGTTGCTTGGAAATGTCGGGCGGAACTTTGTCTGTTTGATGGTGGCAATGAAGGAGGAACATACGAGACGCGATAGGTGGAATACACGCTGGGGATCATGGACATCTCGCAATGGGCCAAGGCCAAAATTCCAAACCAAATTCTATCATCAAGAGAGCTGCTCATTCGTTACAAATCCATGAGACACATTCTAACCCCCGGGTAGCCATGCCATACATAGCACATGTGATTTGCCAGGCGTATGGACCCTTTTTTTTTCGCCTTGTATTTGATAGCAGTAGAATACGCGTTATGGTTCTCTTTCCCTTTTTTTCCTTTTTCTCTTTATCCCTCTTTCCCTCTTCATTAGACTTCCATTGGACCCTGAGACCGATGCTGATCCGGCTTAGACGCCAATCATCCGCTGTATGATTTTCTCCAACTTCTCCGACTTCTCCAAATTCTCAGGATACTTTAAAGATGCACACATATACCTACACAAACACACACACACACACACGCACACAGAACATACACACTAACCCACTATCCACTTAACAAACTTTGCCCACAGTGGTCGCCTCTTTCCGCATTCAGGTACATCGTAGATGAAAGTCTACCGAACCAAATATCCGGGTTTCCCTCCGATTGGCGATTGGCAACGTCTCCCTCCCTTCTCTTTCCCCACCATCATATGATGAATGATGATCCATCCCCATCACCCTCACCATCATCATCATCCCCACACCCTCTCCATCATCATCATCATCATCACCATATCATCATCATCATCATCATCATCATCATGAGCATCACCAGCACCATCACCATCACCATCACCATCGCCATCACCATCACCATCACCATCACCATCAACAACCAGAACTTGAATAAATACCCCTACTACTCATACTCCTACCCTTACCCCTACCTCTGGCTCAAGTACCGGAGCTACTACTTCTACTACTGTTGCCACTAAAATAAAATACAATCCATCATCACCATCCCCTCCCTCGGCTTCTCTTTCTTTCCTTCTTCCAGACTTAGCATTGAGAACGAGAGAAGAAGGGAAAAAAAAAAAAAGTTGGCAACGGCCACCCCACGCCCACGCCCAACCCAAAGCAAAAACGCCCCCCTTCCCCCAAGCCAGCCCTTCCTGCATGAGCCTAATCCAGAGCACCTTAACCAGCTACATGCAGATTTAATCGCTTACGACATCCCATTCGAGACCTCACCACCAAAGACCATCCGCCGAAAAGAAGTTGGATGGCTTTATTTGTGGGAGGGGAATTTCTTTGTTCCCTCCCTTTGCCCCCCCCGGCGACAGCTGCATGCACAATGCACGATGCACGCAATTGGATTTCTGTTTGAGGCTATGAGCCGATGCCGATGGTGATGGCGAGTTGAGGGCCCCAGCGTTTTTTTCGTCTGTGGACTTTTGGTAAGGGAGGAGAATGATCGGGGAATCCGTCAAAACTTGGCACAGTTGGTATGGGGATTCCATCAACCCCTGCCATTGGTTCTTTTTTTTATTTTCTCCATCTTTTTCCTGTCTTTGCCTGCACGGGATTGATGATTATGCGGCTGCTGACAGGCTACTCTATCCGTGTGTGCGAGCGTTGTACCTTGTTGACTTCCTGCAAGATTCGGGCGCTTCTGCTTCATCTTGCAGCCTGTTGTGGCACCTTTGTGTGGATGGAACATTTTCGGCGAATTAGGGATGTCGTGGGAGTGCATTGGTTTTGGTAGGCTGTCAGAGCTGCATGTACAGGGTGGGTATGCATGCAGGTGATTGACTTACCTGAATGCTGGGGGATGTGGCACGGAGCTCTCTGTCAAAGACTTCTAGATTTCGCTTCTGCAGCATCTTGCATGGCTGTGGGTGTGGCAACGTCGGGGAGCGCGGCTTCCTCATTCGCGGCCTCGTGATGCAGGTGACTATACTGCAAATTCATTTGCTGTGGTTTGATTACGAGGCATGCGGCTTTCTGCACGATTTTGCAAAACTTGGGATTTGGGATTTGGGGGATTTTACAGCCTCATCCTGGATTATCTTTTTCAGCTCCGTGTTTTCTCGCAGCCAGATGGCAGTACGCAGAGTATCTGATCCTCCATCTCCATCTACCATGATCATGGTCGAAGCTTCTGTCTTGGTGTCATCCTGCCAGATGTCATTCTGAATTAAAGCCGTGTTGCGGGTCGTTTTTTTTCCTTGCTCGAGGGCTGCATGAAAGGGTATGCAGGTTGCTTTTTTGGCGCGCTAGAAAGAAGTTGAAGGTGGGGCGGATTCGCGACCCCAAGCCGTTCGTTCAGTTCTTCCGTTTTTTTTCTCTTTCTTCACGGGTCAAGCTGCCAGCCGAAGTTGCAACCGAGCAGAGTTGAAACTGGAGGCTTTGAGGGTGTAAGGGCAGTTTGTGAGGCTCGAATGCTTAGTTCCTTGACCCCCGGGGCCGTCCGACTTTGACGTTGCGGACAGGGCAAGGGTGGGTAATTTCTATAGGGACCGTTGAATTCATGCAGCACTCGCAGTGTCGCAAATCAGGACCCATTCCATCTCTCACGACAGCATGCTTTGTGGGTGATCAAAAACTCAATTACTCTTCGCTCTTCATTCAGGTCTCCGTCGCGCACTCAAGCGAAAACAATACACTCGTCAATCGACATCTCCACCCTGTCTGATGCGTGCACGGCCTTTCCAAAAATAGATTCGTAATCATCTTACACACATATACGGATACCTCCGTGTACATACATGGAATCTAGGTGCTTCAGGCACAAAAGTGAGGGTATCTGAACGCCACCCAGCGCCGATCCATGCATCCAAGAAATGCCAGCTCGCATGTAAGAGCAAAAGCGCAAGAGTTGGTTTTTGGTTCCCAGAACGCCGGCGCAATGATCTGTGACTTGGCGAAGTGCAAAAAAAAAAGGCAAACGCCGTTCGAATCCAAAAAATCCTAGCGAGTCGGTCAAATCCGGTGGGGTCTAGTCGAGGTCACTTCATCAGCTTGTCGACCGTCTCCCTCTCGGCGTTGATGGCAGCTTGCAATTTCCGGGTCTGGCGCATTGCCTCGTCCCTAGGGAAATGGTCAGTTGTCATCACCATGCATTCTCAAAGACTCTTCTAAACGTACCGAGCAGACTGCAACTCCATGACCTCGATCTGCGCCTGGTTCATCCTCCCGACTACCTCCTCCATCTCCAGATCCGCTTCACCCAGCGCCCTCTCCAATTCTGCAACCCTCTTCTCTAAGGATTCAGTCTTGAGAGCCTCATCAAGCGACATACCCAACCCGGTCGTCGTCCTGTCCAGCTTCGGGGAGCGACCGCCGAACATTGTTCTGGGGGACAAAGGAGAATTTGCGACGGGAGAAAACACCGTGGGCGTCTTAAGACCAGTCTTGAGCCGCTGCAGTTGCTGATTGTGGCTTTCCCTGATCTCACGAACTTCCTCTTCGTGCTGCGCAAAGGCTTCCTCGGAGTGTTGCTGGGCGTTCATGAGCTTGTCCTCCAAATTCTTGAGTTTGCCTTGCATGCTGTTGATCCGCGTCGTCGAGTTCTTCTGTGCTTCTTCGCCTCTACCAACGGCTTCGGCGAGCCTTTGCCGTAAACTGGCATTCGATTCTAGTTGGAGGCGCACTTGGGAAGATAAGGCCTCCACACGGTCTGCCGATGCGCGGAGCTGGTCTACCAAGCCTGCATTCTCTCCGGTGTGAAAGGACTCTGCTTCCATAAGGGATTCTGCTTGTGCTCGAAATGTTGCTGCTTGCTTCTTCGCATAGTCTCGCTCGGCCTCAGCATCGTTCATGCTTTTCAGTAGCTTATCCATTGTAGCAGCCGTGTCAGCATCTTCAACACTTGAAGGTGCGCCTCCATGCAGCTCCCGAAGTTTGGTGATGGACATAGCTTGCGTGACTTGTAGATCTCTATAGGCCCTCTCAAGCGAGGCAGACGTGGCATGCGCTCCAGTTGCGGTCTCTGATGATGATTGACCAGAGATCTCGGGGATTAGGATGTCATGCTCTTGCAGGACCTTTCTTAGAGAGCCCGTCTCCTGCTCAGCTCTATCAAGATCTTTCTTCAGTCCACCAAGTCCTTTCTCAATATGGTACTTTTGCATGGACGCATCCTCGGCTCGCCGCCGAAGCTGATTGATCTCAATTCGTAAGCCTGCGACTTCTTTCTCATAACCTACCCTTCGAGGAGATTGGTTCTGCAGAGCTCGATCCCTCTCGATCTCCAGGTTTCGGATTCCCTTTTCATGTTCATTTTTTTGGTAACTCTGTCGATCAAGCAAGCTTTTTAAAGCCCGGTGTAGAGCGTCACGCTGCATTTCAATATCTTTGACCCTATCCGCAAGGGAATCCCTGGATTCTCGTTCCTTGTTTGATACGGAATTTGACCTCTTCAAAGTACCAGCTCTTGACAATCCACCCCTTTGCCCGGCGACGGAACTCGATCTAGTCAGGCCCGTTCCGGATCCTTGCGTTTCCGGGTGTCCGTTC